AAAACGAAGCGACATTCGATCGACTTCAATCATTTTATTGTTTCAGTGGTGATTTATTTGGGGAATATTTCTGAATGCAAGGCAGATAGCAACATTTTTGTTAAAACCTTTATTGTAGCTCTTGATTAGCTGTACAAAAATGGTTTTAACAGATTTTTCAATATCTGCCTTAGCCTCTGAGATATTTACGGAAAACCGGTGAACAGCGAAAATCGACGTGAACCGTTTTATCGCCTCGCTGCTGATTTCTCCGCTTTAATTGCCTTTCAATTGAAAATATAATTATCCTCAACAGTGTGAGGAGCTGTTCCTGGACTTACGCGAAAAATGACATGGAAATCAATGCAAATATTAAAAAAAATTGATTAATTCTTTGCGATTTTCAGAATTTTGACAGTGAAAATTCGCGGAAAATTGTTCGATCGGTGGAAAATTGTAAACGAGGGATTAGTCCCTGAGAATAAAACATTTTTTCATCGTGCCTCAGCAATACCTCCGGGTGCTTCAATAGAATAAAATGATTCAGGGTCAAACGTCCACGATCTCTTTATTTTTTTTTTCCCCTCCATTTTTTACTCTCGTCTCTTAATACGGATAATATTCTCAACTTATCCCGGCAAAATACCCTATTATGCAAAATTTATAGGTGAATAGTGACTGTCTTTATCACGTTAGCGACAGTATACCCGGTGTTTTTTCAATTTCATTGACTTGATCGTCTTATTATCTCTTTTTCCACCCGCAAATCTGAATTGAATAAATTACAGTTGATTCATTGGCAGTCATGTAATTAGATAAAACGATGCACTTGATCGGTTATTTTTATTATCGGTGAATTAAAACCATTGGGAGACGTCAGAGTTAACTATTCTCTGAGGATAAACTCGGTAACGAGTTTATGGATTCAATGAACTGTAAAAAATCGTCTGTGTTGTGCGTCGAGAGACTGGGGTCAAAATTTTATTATTTCAGAAATGATAGTTCAATAAAAATTACGTCTAATCGTTCCACTCCGCGAGTCAAATAAAACAATAAAAATTGATAACGCAGATAGTATGTTTATTTCAGTATTTACGAGAATGGGAATCGATTTTTCCGGACGCAGTAGCAGAAACGTCGCATTTCATTGGAGATATCTGAAGAACGGCTGAGTCGAAATTCCCGATTCAAACTTCATTTTCAAGTATTTTTTCCCGCTTTTAAAACGACTTCTCCCTCATCGGAATTGCGTCGTTGAGTCGCGAGATATCGATAATTGAAGGTGAAAATCATAGAGAGTTATTTAACGACTGACGAATAATCAATCTCTCAATAAATTAATGACTTTCGGATCCAAACAATACGTGAACTAATACATACACGTATACCCAGAGAAGTAAATTGAGAAACAATGGCGCATGTTATTGTACAATTGCACAAAGTAGTTTATGTAACTTCAAACATAGACGATGTCATTGTTGTTTGATTGCTTCCTGTCAAAAGAATAATGTCAAGCAATCCTCGCCTTGTCCCTGTTGTAATTTTCAAATCAGTCTTGTGCTATCATGGAGACTGACAAAGAATGGATTTTTTAGTCAAGTGGTAATACAATGATTTTTGTTTTCATTTTGCTTCTTTTTTTTTTCATCTTGATGTACAATTGAATTATTTAAAAGTGACAGGTCGGTGTATTTACGAGCGAGGAATAGGGACCGACGGAAACGTATTCTCTGGCATAATGAGAGAAACGATGATTTGCTCTGACGTTGTATGCAACACACTGTTAGTTTTTAGTGTGTTTGAGTCACTTGATGTTGCACATGGTGGCTGCCGAACAGCTTTACTGCCACTATTATTCATCCACGGACCACGAAATCTACACGGGACAAAGGGTAATTATCCGTGAATTTTGAGACGAAATTATTTCCTATTGAGGGACGGATAATTATCGTTATTCACACATGAGGTGAAATTTTGCGATTAGAGCTGCTCTTGTCGATGGAAATAAGGCGTTCTGCGAACATTAGACGATTTTATAAATATTTTTTAATCAATCGAGATTACAGACAATTCATGTGGGGATATTCTAATTTTTTTTTTTGAATATTCCCGCCAAAATTATTTGTCGCTACGGGGGAATTTGTAATGGCTCCGGAGAATATCGTATTTCGGTTCGGAGTTACGGCGATGTCCGGAATTTTTCGTGAATGTTTAGCAAAAATTTATTTAATCATTTTTAGTTTGAGATTGTCCGGAAATATTATTAAAAACAAATAATACAAGTGGAAAAACTGCGGTTGTAATTGGGGAAAATCGGAATTTTCTTTGAAGATGAAAAATCTATTGCATTTGTGTTCTGGAAGATTTAAATAAATATCAATTTTTTTTTTCATTTTTAAAACAACAAATTTGATTTTAGATTCTAAAACTCGAGGGATTATTTGTTTTATTGAATTATTTTTTGTTTATTGGATCATTTTTTTTTATTTTCATATTTTTGAAACATCAATCATCCGCAAGTAATTTCTCAGTAATTATAATTAATTCGTGCCTATTTATAATCGCCAAAACATCTTTCAACCAATAAATTCGATAATTTGAAATTATAAGTTCTCAGTATTCTATTTTTCCTTATCAATTCATCAGACACATTACAACAATTTAAATTTCCGAATTCCCTGTCACGAAACGCCTAAAAAAACTGAATTTTCCATTAAAAAATACAATATAAAATTCCGTTTTTAAAATCTGTTGCAAAATGGTAAACTCTGACAAGTGCATTTATTTCGCGGAAAGTTTTTAGCCGATTTCTCAAAACCGAAAGAAAATACTAATATTTTCATAGATACCTTTTTTGTAGCTGAAATTATTCTCTTTAAAAAATGTTCTTACGCAAAATCCGCTATATCCCTCCAATTCCTAGCTATCAGCTGAAAACTGGCCTAAAAAAAATGCCCCAATCGTACTCTCGCCCCTGAATTCGTAACTAGATTTTTCGTAAAAAATCCTCCGACGAGTTCTTCGCGGTGTAAATCCCAAAAACAATGCACAATCCAAAAAAAATTCCGAAACCAAATATAAAAGAAAAAAAACATGCAAAATGGAATCACCCCCGCACGAAGTTGCGTCACCCCAAAGATTTACAAAACATGTGGCGCGAGTTATCAATCTCCAGAGCACTTCGTATCCCACCGGCGATTTATACGATCGAACCACTCGTCGGAATTTAACGACTGGCTTCCCCACATTCTCAAACCCGAAACAGAGGGTAAAAAATAAAAATAAATATATATATAAACCCAAGAATAAAATAACCAACGGAGACAAACAATTTCATTTTTAATGAAGAAAGAGTAGGTCGCACGTATCAAAAGCCCGAGGGTTGCAGCCTCTGTCATTCTCCTCCTCAGTCTCCGGTCATTATTCTTTTTTACGATTTATCCCGACTATTTTAAAACAACAGTCACTCTTCCCCTCTCAGCCTTAAAACAAACGCTGAAACAGTGTCAGACGCGTAATCGTTTCATCCCGGAGACCAATACCGTCGGTTCGTACTCCAAAATTTGCCGCATTTCTCGTGAATACGATCATTGTATCGTCATCTGCACCTCGAGGTGAATCATATCCGCTGTGGATTACCGAATTTTTGATAATAAATAATGGGCACAAAAATCCGGAGAGGAGGCCGGATTCCTTGGATTCAACGATCATCGCTGGCATTTATCAATTTGTCTTCAACTTTCACTGGGTTTTATGGAAATCTGGTCAGTGGAATGTAATTCTCTCTAATAAATCCAGATAATCAAATTTTCTGGAAAAATGACGGGAAGAACGACGGTTTTTAAATTTCTGGGGAATTTTGTAGGGGAAATAGGTTTTGGTAACTTTCAGGGTACGTTTTGCCGAAATTTCGAGAATTTTATGCCCTTGGAGGAATAATTATATTAATTGATTGATGAGTTGTGGAGGTGGAAACGGAAGATGAAATTAGATAGAAAATTTATATAATCAATTTGTCTGGAAGAATGAGAGGAAGGCCGGCATTTTGCGATACCTTTCGGTGAGTCTTTTTGAATGAAAAATCTTTTGGAAATTTCAAAATTGCGTTTTGGAAAAATTTCGGAAGGAAAAATCTAGCAATCGATTAATCATAGAAATGAAATCAGGGAAGGATATCACGGAATTAATCTATATGAATCTTTTTTTCAGAAAAAACAGAAGATATTTTTTGAGGATTTTGTGTGAATTTTTCTAGAAGAAAATCCACAGAAATTGGAGAAAATTTGGGAAAGTCATTCGCAAAATTGGATATCCAAAAGTACCGGAAGTACTTCGGCGAAACTTGGTCACAACCCGAAACATATTTTCCGTCTGGAGGAATCTTTTTATTAATTGATTAATTACGTGTGAAAATTAAATCCGGGAATCACCCTAAATCCTGCGTTCTTCCTCTCATCAATTTTAAATCTTGTCATTGGAATATAATTCCTTGCAAAATCTACATAATCAGTGGTTCTGCATTTTTCAATGATTACGGATGAATTTTTCGGCGTGAAAATCAACAAGATCGAATAAAAAATTCACTGCATAATTTGTAAAATTGGAAATTCCACTTTTTTCTCTTCGAGAATATTGTCCGTTGAGAAGAATAACTTTATTACTGACTTGCCCTGCAATCCCGGAGTTAAAAGAGATCATCAAGTTTTCCCTCCGAAAACAATGAAAACATAATTTCACCCGGCGACACCGCGATTTATCCCTCAATTTTTCACCGCGCCCCTCCACTGAATTATTAATAAAACGAGATACCACGAAAGGGTAGAAAAGACTCGGGTCAGTGGGTCAATCCCTTCGCCCCTCGGACCGCTCAAAAAAAACTCCCCCCAACCACATCATCGCTCCCTCCCCCAACAAATGACGCACCAATCCATGTAATTATCCCCCACAATCACTCGATATCGATCGATTTCAATCCGATAACCAGTACCAACTCTTTCTACTCGATTACTTCACAGACTCACCTGCCAATCGTGCTCATATCATCCTGCCCGCCGCAGAAGCGGCCGTGCTCATTAAAATCTCAAATCACTAAACCCCAATTACCCCCAAAAAACCGAAAAAAAAAAAAAAAAAATCAGCACACCTCACACCAAATTCAACACAGATACCGTCACTCAGTTTATCCCAATGATTTGATATGCGTCATTCACCAGTCCACCGATTATCGACAAAAACCTGGACGCCTTAATTCCGAATAATCGTGCTGTCACCACGACAATACAATAATTCACTTGTCCACCAACTGCATGAGTGCGGAATAGTGGGGGCGGGGGTGGTGGATAGGGGGGGTGGGTAAGGGGAGGATGCCTCCAGGCCGGACCGCACAAATACCTGTTGGGACGCACTAACTCGTCAACACGTCAAACGCGTTCTTTTTTTTTTGTCCTCCGGATGCGGCACGTGGACAATCCACAAGCAACAATAGGTCCGTTGTGAAGAATGCAAACGTTTATGTGATACCGAGCTAAACGCGGAAAAACTCGGATATACCGGAGACGGAGAAATAATGACGGCGTGCGGAGCGTCGACTGACTGAAGGCGGCCGAGGGTCCGCGGGACGGTGAGAGTTTAGGCGCGGGCGCTGGCTCTCACCGGCGCACATCGTCGGGCGCCGCACACCCCCGTTCATAACCAATATATTTTGTCCTTGTTACTCCACCATAAGTACGAACAACTCCGGGGACGAGTCCCCAACAGCCACGCGACTTCTCCGTTTTATCCCCACCCAACAATAGGACTTCTGTACTCTCCCCCCCCCCAACCCTCCCCCCCACCAACCCCGCACAGCTCCCTCCTCACCACCTCCTTTTACTCGTGCCAGTCAAGTTCTCACTCACTCTAGAGGGGTCCCTCTACCCGGACAAAAGCCGACTAGCGACAACCGACTGACAACGGCACGAGAAAACTGCCGCGCCGAACGTTTACCACGCCCTTCTCCGCGCGCAACACCGCAGTTACCGCCTACTTTTGCCCAGCACCCACGCCGTATGTGTGTAGTCTATCCCCACCCCTGGTGCCCCTCTTGTTTCTTTATTGCCGGGGGCAACCTATAGTCAAGATACTAGTGATTCTCGATTTTTCTAGTGAGCTTTTTGCACCAAGCCATTGGCATTTTTTATTCTTTCGTTTTTCTTTTTTAATTCATGTGTTCTCTTCCGGATTGTTGGGATTTTTCCCACGAGAGGGAGGGGGTAATGCGCGGAGGGAATTCTGTCGAATTGTAGTGGGCAGGGAGGAATTTAGGGGAACGCGTTCCATTCGTTTGTTTATTTGGCATTGTTTGCAGGAAAATATGAAAATTTTTGTCGTGGACTTATTGGTTTTGTTGCGATGTCGGGGTAAATAGTCTTTCGTTTACCTTTTTCGGATTGACTTTGTTTTTCTTTTCGGCTCGAAACGGCATAATCGTAAAAAAAAATGTAAAAGATTGGAAGAGAAATTGAATATTAGAAACATGAAATGGATTTATGGCATGATTGAATCTCGGTCAAATCCATTCTATTGGTGACCCCCTGTGGTTTGGGGAAGTAGATAAGTTCGTTGCCTCACATGCGACAGGTTGTGAGTTCAAGTCTCGGCCGGGCGGATAGTGAGATCTAACCATTTTTAAAGTCTTGATCAATCGTGATTATTCCCCAGACGGGTCAAGACGATGTAAAATAACCATAAACAAAATAAATAAATGAATCAAATGATGACTGCGCACCGTGCACCTATTGTCCGATGTAATCCATTCCACTCACAACCGGCGATGACTTGGCGCAGTGGATAAGTTCATTGTCTCATATATGACAGATTGCGAGTTCAAGTCTCAACCGGGGCGGATGGTGAGATCTAACCATCTTTAAATCTTGATCAATCGTGATTATTCCTCTAACCACAACCCCCGATGAATTGGCTCAGTGGATAAGATTGTTGCCTCACATGCGACAGATTGCGAGTTCAAGTCTCGGTCGGGGCGGTATAGGGTGAGACCTAACCATCTTTAAAGTCAATCGTTGATCAATCATTGTTTATACCCTAACCGGGCCGAGGCGATGTAAAATAAAGATTAAAACAAATAAATAAATCAATTGGTGACTGCGCATTGTGTACCTATTGTCTCATATAAGCAGGACGGTGACGACTAAACGCGGGGCAACCCCCGCTTGCGCTTCACAACCGCCGGATCCAATAGTTACCGCCCAAGGGTGGGAGGATGAATAACCGTCCGCCCAACCAATAAGGCTTCAAGCCACCTCCCGCGCAAATCACAATGCTCATTGTTATCGGCCTCTCCTCCGCCCACACCCCTGTTCTCCTCCAACTGGCTGGTGCTCCGGGCCTCTGTGCCCTCGCGGAACAACTGGTTACGCGCAGGTATACGTACCTCAATATTCCATGCGCAAACGCCTCAAGACACTCATCTCACCCAAAATCCCCATGAAATCGACCGTTCCAGATTTCAAACAGCCCCACTAAGACTTCACACGAGACCAGAACGAGACATGACTTGCGCAAAATTCTTAACGAAAATTCTTTAAGATTCGATGTAAACTCTTGGTCTAGTCCCAGTCTCCAAAGAAGCGGCATCCCTCGATTTATCTCATCTTAACTCCAAGTTTTCCAATCCTCCATGACAACAATCCCCCCCTACCTCACCCTAAATCCCCTCCCCCCAAAAATATCATTGAATCTCTGCCAATGCAAAAATACACCCTAACAAATGATGCTAACGGCCAATGTACCATAAAAATTCCCCCCCGTTTTTTAATTCCATAATGCCAACTGATATTAATGACACTCAATTTTATCCAGTAGAATTTCCACATCCCGAGAATACATGGAATTACGCGTGTGTTGGCACACGATAGATTTTTCTTTTTCTCCAGGTGCTTTTGACGTCAGTCGGTGCCGACTGTTCCTACAGACTATAAAGAGAGCAGCCAAGGATTTTCTATACCTATATTACAGAAATGAGAAAATGAGAGAGCACCGGGTACTGTCTATCCACCTAGTTTATGCGCTACCTTGTCTCTGGTACATACACAAAGTGCAGGAATACTGTGTTGGAAACCACCACCCGCCCCCATCCAACCCCTTCGCCCCCACCACCCCCTTTTCCACCCTATTCCCCCCCTTTGATATACTGTCAGAGTTAAGAGAAACGGACGAGAATGGCGACTCTGCGCATCCCTTTCATGTCTTCCGTAAACCTTCCTTGTGCCCCCCTCCCCCCTCCACTCCCCCTCACGACCCCCTTTCCATTTCACCCAACCACCCACTCGCCCAACGAGTCTTCCAGACTCTATCTTTACAATTTTGAAACCCCTCTTTGTGATGCTCTTTATCGAAATTAATATTCGAGTGAAAATAAACACTGAAAATTGGGCAACATTTAAAATATGGTAGATGGCTCCATGCGCACCTGCTTCCAGTGGACGTGTTATTTCGAGGGAATAGGATTTGTCCAGAATGTAATTTGATGTGTTTGAGTGTCGGTCGATTTCAACGGCCTTCGAGGCCTCAATACACACGGAGGCGAAATAATATTTGGATTGAATGAGGAATTTTCGCGGTGAATTTGATAGATGGAGATGCGTTTTGGTTAGGTGTTGATACAAAAATAGGTGAATTGAGAGATTTTTGGGGGGAGTATTTGTGGACCTGAATTTAAGACGTCGGTTCGTGGGATTTTAACTTCGACGGATTTCGTGGTATTATAGAAATTCAGAGATGACGTCAATTTTTATTCAGGCACGGGGTACCTGATTTTTAAGACTCAAATTTCAGGCACTGTGTTTCGAAGTGGGTAGATAATTCAGGACTTGCTGGATGTCGGAAATTAAAACGACTTGAAGACACTAATTTTCGCTAAAATGACATGGACCTGAATTTAAGACGTTGAGTGTTTTACAGCTTAAAAAAATTGACAACAAAATTAATATTAAGACATGATAATTGCAATTGGAAAATGATTAAAATATAAGTAAGTCTTCAATTAATATGAAGTGTCTTCCCAAGCTGTTCTTTTTTTTCAACCTCCCGGGTGTCCCACGGGTGCCTGATTTTTATTTTATTTTTAAAGACACTTAAGACACTTCAAATTTCAGTCGTTATCTTCGAACGCTTATGTACAATTTCAATGCCACGCGGTACCTGAAATCACAGCGGATTTGAGATCTAAATCTAGACTACAACCTTTCGAACCTGAATTTAAGACACTGTTTTAACTTCAAAGCAACATACAGGAGCAGACAAAGATTTCATTTATTTAAATAAATCGTTTAATTGCTAAAGGAGTTGATTCTCCCTGAGAGATATTCATTTCTAATTATCTACAAGTGATCTATCCCTATCAACGAACCCTGGGTCTATCACAATTATCTTTCATTTAAAACTAGAATAATATAGGAAATATAGGACATCAATGAGTGCATGAAAATTCAAATAAAATGAATCAAATCCAGAGGAGAGGTTTAAAGAGAAAAAAAAATAGAGAATGCAATTGGGAAATTGGGGATTCGTTAAAATATCAACAATTAATGTTAACTAAGATTCTCATAAATCAAACACTTAAGATATTATAGATCAGTCTGGAATTATCAGAGAATGTCGATTATCTGAATGAAAACGATTGCAACGCAATATAATTTCCATAATATTCCCCCGAGGTCCGAATTACAAAAATATGCGATAATCCATTAACATGAACCTTCGGTAAATGTTTGATGTTTTCTTCAACTTATCATCGATGTGTCTGTAATAGCGCCGTCTGCTTTTTGTCCAATTGCCCCCACGTCTTTCCTCCCAACAGTTCTAGTTCTACAACAGTGTCAGAGAGTAGAACATAAATAAAATGAAAATCGGTGTAAAAACTGTTGGAAAACTGGTATAACCTATACGTGATTGAATTAATTCGGTTGACGATTGTATAAACGTGGAGACCGAGGTGACACTGTCTCCAAGTGGAAATAAACAGTCATCCAATTAGATGCCGGAATTTTTCAGTTTCACTCGCTTTTTTTTTTATTCCCTCGATTTCAGGAGATTCTGGTCTTGTTTCTCTCCCTCTGGTTTCTTACATGATTTACTCGCGTGTTTCTCAAGTATTCGCGTGTAATTCTTCCAACGCAGCCGGTTGTAAGTCTTTATGACTTAATTTATATGGCGAAATACACATCGATTATTATTATTATCAGTGGAATTATTATTTCCATTATGATCCGCTTCAAAATATCGAGACTTGGTCTTCATATACATTTTTAATT